CTGCAAAAATTGCAGGAATCAACATTATTTCAATATATATCCCTCATCCAAATACTCACTTAATTCAAGAACTATCCTCTCTCTTTTCTTTGTTACCTCCCCCCTTTTATTATTACCGGTATTTTAACACACATCATGTATCTTGGGGGTCACATTTTTGTGATGTATTCTCTTCAGAACTTATTCAAATTTTTGAAGATATCAATGCTTGCATCATTAACAATGGTTCCCCTACTCATAGAGTATATCCAGGACTAGACCCTAGGTCTGCTGTCGACCTAACAGCTTGCTCTTCTAGTCTTGCCCCTCAGCTTTCTTTGAAAACTCTCAATCAAACATATGGAAGTGATCACTTTCTTATTCTTATCACCAAACCCTATGCGGTTCTTCCTTTTCCCTCCACTACGCCCCTCCTTAAATATAAGCTCCAAAATGCAGATTGGACTGATTTCACTAAATTCTTAGATTCTAAATTTACCCAAATGCAGGTTGACTCCTCAACCAACCCAATAACTTCTTACTCTTTATTGGTACAATATATAACTGAAGCAGCTGACTTATTTATCCCAATCAAAAAACCCTACAGCAAGAACCTTGCCTCCCCTCCATGGTGGGATGCTGAATGCACCACTATGATTAAAAGGAGAAAAGCTGCAGAAAAACTTTACAATCACTGTATGACATATATTTTATACTATTTCAAAAAACCTCTGCTCAAACAAGGAGACTTCTTTCCAAAAAGAAAAAAAGTGGATGGAAAAAATTTTGTGAATCCTTGTCCCCTAATACACAAGTAACAATAGTTTGAAAAAATATAAAAAAATTTCGTGGATCTCTTACTTCTGATAGCAACATTTCTGATAACTCTCTATCATGGTTAGAAGTCTTCTCTGATATGCTAGCTCCTCCTTTTGTTCCTAATGAAAATGCAATATGTCCACCGATTCCAGTCCCGTCTAGCATCAACAATAATGAGATAATCTTCTCATTGTCTGAACTACAGTCTGTGTTATCTGGCTTAAAATCCTCTGCTCCAGGAGAAGATGGCATACCCTATGCATGTTTATGTAAATTAAGTCTTAAGGGAAAATTAATTCTTCTCCAAATTCTGAACAATATCTACATATCTTCTAATATTCCTCTGTCTTGGTCAAACCAAATTGTTATACCTATCCTTAAACCCGGAAAAGATCCCAAAGAAGCTTCTTCATACCGCCCAATTGCTCTTTCATCTACTTTTTGTAAAATTTTAGAACATTTAATTAAAAACAGACTTGAATGGTTTTTGGAACATAATAACATCCTTGCAAAAAGTCAATTTGGTTTTCGAAAAGGGAAAAGCACATTAGATAGTTTGAGTATCCTAACTACAGATATTAGGTTGGCTTTTTCTAAAAATGAATACTTGGTGTGTTGTTTCCTTGATATATCATCTGCCTATGACAGTGTTCTCCTTCCGGTGCTCAGGCAGAAAATGCTCCATCTAAACATCCCTGCGAAGACTGTTCACTTCATTTACAATCTATTCATGGGACAATCTATCAAAATTCGCAATAAAGGAATCTTAAGCTCGCCCAGAACAATTTGGAAGGGTCTACCACAGGGCTCAGTTTTAAGCCCTATTCTTTACAATATTTACACATATGACCTGGAACATTCAATTTCGTCTTTCTGTGACATATTACAATATGCAGATGATCTTGCTATCTATGTAACGGCTCCTGATATTCTAACTGCCTCCCATCATCTTAACAGAGGCTTATATTATCTTAATCAATGGCTTACTGACCGTGGCCTCTCTCTTTCACCTTCTAAAAGCAAAATAATAACATTTAGTAGAAAACGTGTTATCCCTACTATTGATATCTCACATAATGGTGAATCTATTCCAGTTGTTAACGAAGTAAAATTTTTAGGTATTTACTTAGATTGTCATATGACCGGTACTGCTCACTTTAATTACATTAGTGACAAATGTGAAAAAGGTGTTAACATTCTTAGATCTCTCTTTGGCGTATGGTGGGGTTCCCACCCCATGTGTCAAAAAATCCTATACAATGCCATCATCCGTAGTCACTTCGACTATGGTTCTTTTCTCCTGGAGCCCTGCAACAAATCGGCCCTTAGTAGGCTTGAAGCTATCCAAACAAGATGTTTACGTGCTCTCACAGGCGCAATGAAATCAACTCCTAAAAATGCCTTACAAGTAGAATGTGTTGATCCCCCCTCTCTCTTTACGAAGACAGTTTCTAGCTGATAGATTTATCTCAAAAACTCTACAACTATCATCTCACCCCTTACATCGTAAACTAGAATCCTTGCTACTATTAGTTGTAAACAACTCCTATTGGTCTAATAAAAGCTGGCCCCCTATTCTTAAATTTTTTTTGAATTAATATCTCTTAATAGATTAAAAAAATATTGAGTATCCTTGTGTTACATCCCCAATTCTACCCTATTTTGAAACCAGCTATGATGCTATATTACTAAATCCTAAAATCACTCTGAATTTAAACATTAATAAAAATTCTCCAACTGCAAACAGAACTTTCTATAACCTAGTGGCAAAAAAATGGCCTGATTGGCTATATATTTTTACTGATGCTTCCAAATTGTCCTCATTCAAATATGTCGGTTCTGCAATCTGGATTCCCAAATATAAAATTGTCCTTAACTATAGATGCCTTCCTCAGGCTTCTGTTTTTACAGGGGAAGCTGTAGCCATATATGAGGCTATATCCTACATTTTTCCTATAAAATTCCTAAATCAGTTTTATTTACTGATTCAAAAAGCTGCCTAATGTCGTTACAGAGCAATATATCTAAAATGATATCCATCTCCCCATTGATACTGAAAATTAAATTACTCATACTAAATTGTAATAAGAGTGGGCTTGAGGTAGAGATTGTGTGGATTCCTAGTCATTGTGGCATAGAAGGAAATGAACAGGCTGACTCCTGGGCCAAAGGAGCGGTAGATACTGGCTGCCCTTCTCATTTAATGAATTACTCTCATGATTTAATATCATTAGCTCAAATTGAATTAAAGAATTCTTGGGACAGAGATTGGAGCATATCCAGACATAGTAAAGGTAGCTACTTTGGTAAAATCCAACCCCAAATTCCTCCAAAGCCTTGGTTTTTCAAATTTAGGTTTCTGAACAAACAAATCACATCTACAATCTGCCGTTTAAGGCTCGGGTATGTCTGCACTCCTGTATTCCTAGCTAAAATTAGAATCAAAGATCATTCCCTCTGTGAATGTGGTCTGGATGAAGGTTCCCCAGACCACATTTTCTTCAGTTGTCAAAATCACCCAATTTCTTTATATATGACATCCTTCCCAAAACAATCCCTCGACCAGTTAATATCAATTCCCTCTTAACTATCCCCGATTCCATATATGTCAATACAATCTCAAAATATATTCGAATGTATAATATTAAAGTATAATTATTGTGTACTAAATTTAGCTTAACCTAATTCTATATTCCCTGCCCAGGCTAATACCCTCCTATAACTAGATTTTTACTCTATATTGTGTGGTCCTCAATTCATATATTTAGTTGCTTTGTTTTTATCCACATTCTCACCTAATAACCACTAACTCCTTTTCCACCGGAAAGCCTCAAGCCAAGGTGTGACAGACCGAAGACCGGACATTGGCAGAATTATTGTGACATTATCACAATACCAAGGGCCATAAAATTTAGTTATTTAAAAAAAAAAAAACTTTTCAAACTGAAAACTCTTCGATGTGTATCGCTTCAAAGCGGTAGTTGTGCGTTCTTTTCGCGAGTATATTTTGTCATATAATTTACATCTGGCTGCTAAATCATCAATCTCAACATAATAGTTCCCTTTAGGTCCCAATAGGACTCTTTTTTGGTTTCATGATTGCACTTAAATTACACACACGACTCGAATTACTAATTAACTAAAAAAAACTATAACAGAAAAACTTACGGACTTACACTCATGTCACGCCGTATAATAAAGTTAAAAAAGTATGTAAACAAACCCGTTGGTACCAGTGCCGAAAGCACGTTCCCAGCTCACTTGTGATTGGCTGAAATGATACCCCCTCCTCCGCCCCTCCTCTACTTATGTGGCTGCGTCACTGAGTTCCGTTCAAACTTCCGTTATAAAACTTGCGGAAACGGAAGCAGAAACGGATGTCAAAAACCATTCTGAACTTCCGCAGTAGCGGAAACAGAAACAGAGTTCTGTTGCATCACTATAGTTTACTTTTCGCCTTGGCGTACAGGACACGGTAATGCGTTTTTGGCGTGGCGCTCGAAAGGTTAATTTACATTATTTGGCTTGTGCTAGTACGACCTTTATATGATCACTTTATGCAAAAATAAGAAAAAAAAGCCCCATTCGTGCTACAATCATACAAATATGGCTGCAGATACCACGTATAAAGTAAAAGTAGTAACGCATTTAGTGCAAAAGGAGGCCCTTTTGCACTAAATGAATTACTACTTTTACATGAGATTTATTTATGTGGCGTTATTTAGATAGCCCATCCTGCAGCCAACTTCAAACAAAGAGGGTTACCTACAGACGCGTTATCAACTCCAAGGACTGTTCTAATACCGTATAATTTATAAATTTCTTGAGTTGTCAAAATAATACAGCATACATCACTCCTGACATTGTTCAGCATATTATATATTTTTATATGAAAATTATAATCAGACATAGATGGAAGATGGACTTATGTCTTTATGACATGCGAATTACCTCCTCAACTCCAAAACAACAAGTGTTGCCAACCTCAAAAAACTAAAAAACAACAACTCGCCTAAAAAAACAGTGGAAAGCAGTAGGTAAAGAAAAAAAGGCAGATTTCATAATTTTGCTCATATAATTAAATAATAAACAATTTTCTTAGTTACTAGAACTCACATACATTGATATATTTATAATCACAACAACAAAAAACAAAATGAAATCAAAGTAAAATTATTTTTCAGTTTAATTTTCAATTGCCTTTATGTGGCTTCAAATGAATAGCAATCGGTTATTTCGGATTTAGTGTGTAATACTCCTTTAATAGTTGTAGTCGATATTCTGTTGCGTAATTTGGTTTTCATAATATTTATAGCAGAAAATAACCTTTCCACGGCGGCGCTGCTATGTGGTAGGCACAAAAGCTTATTTACCAATTCACACAATGTGGGGAATGTTTGAGATTCGTCTCCATTTCTTAATTCTTGTACATGTTTCCAAAAGTCGATAATATCGGGAGTTTTGTTTTGGTTGAAAGAAAAATCGACATTTCTTAACATTCGCCATTCTCTATCCAGTTCCGTTATATTATTTGGACAAATCTTTGGGAAGTAATAAAGTAAATCTGCAATGGAAGTGAATTTCTTTTTTATTTCAGGCTCCAGAATTGCTGTAGGATTTAGCATCTTGAGACATTTTAATGCTTGACGGTTTTAGTCGTCAAAAGGAAACCTTTTTTTTATATCTGTTTTGCAGCCTCCATATAAAACTCCTTACACTTTAAGTAGAAATTTTTCAGCTGTTCTTCCTCTAGTTCTCCTATTTCTCTCTTTCTTTTGATCAGATTTGGCACCATTCTACCAACGTATATATGTTGCAACGGTAAATGTTTCTGCTCACTCGAGAAGTCAAGGTTTAATATTTTAGTTCCCTTTGCGTCTAAAATATTTTGTGCTTCATTTTTTTCTTGTTCAGTGAGATTCAAATATTCAGTTTGTACAAAGCATTCCAAGATAGTTGTGTATGCGGTCAGTATTTTGTCGTATAGTAAATATAATTTCGGAGTCTCGGATTGCATTTCTTTATTGAGATCGGTAAATATAGGTAATGCAAATTTCAAAAACTCCAGGTACAATTCAGTTGTCGTTTCGAGAGCCTTGGAGAGAATTGATTGCGCAGAAAATAATCTATCTACATGAACTGCAGCTTGAAAATACAATTTTATAGCTGGTAATTCTTCCAGAAGCCTATTTACTACCTCCATAAGTAACAACCATCTGGTTTGGCTAGGGTGGAGCAATTCGTGTGGTTTAATATTTGTGAATGCTTAAAATGTTTTGAAATTTCCAATAGGGTTTGGAGAATTCTGTATATGATCGAAGCCTATTTACTACCTCAATAAGTGACAACCATCTGGTTTGGCTAGGGTGGAGCAATTCGTGTGGTTTAATATTTGTGAATGCTTAAAATGTTTTGAAATCTCCAATAGATTTTGGAGAATTTTGTATATGATTATATACATCTCTACAGAAATCTTCCACGCCCCTTGGCAATTTCTGCGCAAAGGTTAAAAGAATGACAAATGCACTTCATAGTAAAAAGGTGAGGTATGTCATTTTTAAACAAAGTGGCCAATGAATGTTTATCTCCAAACATAACGTTAGCGCCACCAGAAGCAAAGCCTATCATGTTTGATTTGTAAGGAATATTTTTTTCAACAAAATATTCTACTAGTTTGCCATACAACGCTGTTGCTGTACCCTCTACGATTGGTATTAAAGTCAGAAATCCATCTTCAACGCTGAAATCTAATATATATATATATAAACTATTCATCGCGTGTTTTGTTGAATCTTTGTGTCGTAACAGTTCGTGTATACCACATTTTCTGTCGCAATTACACGCAGAACGAAATAAATAAGTCTCACCTTTAGTGCTTTTCTTTAACCAGCCTTTGAACCCATCATCTTTTAACCACAAATTTACGAATTTCTGTTCATATTTCACATTTTTCTTCTTAGGAGGACTTTTCCCAGTCGATGAATCACTACTCATTTTATCAAAAACGTTGTAATTATTGTTTTTTTTAAATAGACGCCGCAATTCAAAGAAACTGTTCAAGGTGTTGTGACTATAAAACAATACGCAATACAATAGGCGTGTAGCTGTCATTTATAAATTGGGATTTCCCCGTGCATAAAAATATGATTGTCAAACACATATAAGATGTTGCCATCTAGTGTCATTGCGTTTTATTAAGTAGTGGTTATCAAAAAATGTTTGCATAGCGGTGTAATAGGTGGCGCAGAACACTAGTTGAAAAACAGTAGAAAACAGGAATGAAACAGAAAACATTGAAATCAATGTGAAAACAGCAGATCTACTGTTAAAAAAGTAGGGTTGGTAACAGTGGATTAAATAAATATAACCCCAATTCTAGTAGATACTTATTATAATAAAATAATATATAAGTACGTATATATTTACAAGTTTAGCAAACTTTATACATCTATTAACTGGAATTCACTATAGCGAAATGGGCTACAGAAAACATTGATTTACAGTATAAATCAGCCAGTATTTCCTTCCCTTAAATTAACTTCCTTCATCCCCTCCGTTAATTCTTCTGGGGTGTCCATTTTGTTGACCTGCTCCAAGCACAGTTCTAGAATCTTCTCCAGAGCCCGGGCAGTGACGTCGGAGGGATATTTTGGAATGTCAGGGACGTGAATAAAGAGGGTTCTCGTGTTGTCGACGCTAAGTGACGTATAGTATATGTACTCGCAGAGATACCTGTAAAAAGAATAAATTATAATAGATACTTTTTTCAATACTAGCTGGTACCTGGCGTGTTGCTGCCGCGGAAGAGTTTATTCTTTAATTAAGAATGGCAATACATCGTTGGAATTAAATTACATATAACGTTCAAGTAAATTTGTCAAACAAACTTACAGTAGATACGCGTATTACGATACGCGCGCCATCTACTGTAAGTTATTAATTTTACTATGCCTATAACCTAATGCAAGCAATATGTAGATAAAGTTTTACCGCGATCTGATAAACGGTATTTAAGCGCATAAAATACGAAAAAACATTATTTTTATATATTAGAAGAAGATAACCTAATATTATAGTACGAAGCATTAACCCTTAGGTTTTCCTATCAAATCAAGGGTATGTTCCGAAATGTTTCCAGTATACTGGCGAATACAAATGACGTCATTAATTGACGTTATATTGTACTGGCGTGCCGTCGCCATATTGTGTCGGATATCCCGCTGTATTAAAACAACTTTTAACTGTGTGTATGCTGAATGAAGCATGTCAGAATTTGTTTTTATTTATTTAAATACAAAAAAATTATAGAATAATTTCTGGTATCTCCATTTCTCACAAATTAATTGAAACAGGACATAATAACTTTTGGAGCACAAAATGACAAAATAATCGACATTTTTCCAATAAGGCGCAAATGTATGATATACTGTCTAATATTTTGAAACGAATCACCAGTATGGCGTCGATTTATGACGTCATTTGCATTGGCCAGTACACTGCGTTTATTTTGGAACGTACCCGAAATTCCCCAATATGTTAAATCTGTCAATTATTGATTTCTTATATTTACACGAACACTATACATTGATTCAAACTACTTTTACGGATTTTATCGCGTTTATTTATGTTGTTTTTAATACCCAACGTTTCGGGTGCTTTTCAGCACCCATGGTCACGGGGGACTGAGGTGACTGACGTCCCGATGTCAAAGTTAACCCGGAGTACCTTCAGCTTTTTAATTATTGTCTTTAGTCCGATCTACGCAGAATGAACTAACTGCGTTTTGAAGTCTGGCAGTGGTATACTTGGGTTTAGTTTTAATTTTATTAATTATAGGGTCCCAAGCAGGTGGTAGTATCTCAGTCCCCCGTGACCATGGGTGCTGGAAAGCATCCGAAACGTCGGGTATTAAAAATAACATGAATAAACGCGATAAAATCCGTAAAAGTAGTTTGAATCAATGTAAATTATTATGTCAATGTCATCTGTCAAGTGACGTCGCCTTAGTGGCAGGCTCGTCTCCACGGATTAAAAGTCAGGTATCTCTAATATAAAAGAGAGTTTGACTGAAATGGTAATTAATCAATCAAATGCTTTTCGATCCTTACCTTCCAGCATCTTTTGATGTTACAGCATTAGTATTTTCCGGAGGGTTTCCATCATTGAAATCCTTGCAAATCTGTTCTACATTCAGCTTGGTTTGCAGCCTGATAGCCCCCTCAGCTGGACAAGTGTGATTAGCTGGACAGTTGTTAAAGTAGTCCTTTTTTTGATAGCCTTTCCTGTGAGCTTGTGTTTCCAAAGTCATGCAATCAGCTATACTTGACACTCCGACGTGGATAACGAGCTGAAATTAAGTTATATAGTGATAATAATAATATCCTAAAGACAGAAATTCAGCCACGGTGGCCAGTTTAAACAGAGGTCAGTTGAAACAGAGCTAATACCCATATTACACTACCCTGAATCAGGCTCCCTACGCACTGATTCAGGCTGGTGTAATAAGAAAAAGGGAGTAAGGTTCCCTAATAAGGGCGTGAAAGTGGACCCGGTCTGCAGTGCAATGTAATAACATTAAGGGAGTTAGTGCACTTATTCGATGTGCCACTAGGGATGTAAACGATACATCAATTCTTTCAAACATCGATATATCGTTCATAAACAAGGTTCTTCATGAGCTATGTTTTATGAACGATGTTTTACCGCCAAAGGTTACGAAATAACCAACTATTCAAAGGTATGAAATTCCGTATATTAAAAGTTGCGAACGATGATTATCCCGAATTTTATGTTGCCAAAAAATAAATATTCGAAACAAAATATGTCAAAGTTAGATAACGTCCAAATTTTTAAAGTTAGAAGGTTTACGAGTATTTAGTAGAAATAACTCAATCCCGAAAATTTTAATTACGAATCAACAAACAGGCGAATGGTCTTTCAGCCGAAAATAAATATACTTGAACTTCAGAAGTACAATTGTCTTCTATCGGTGATTCCATAGAATACTGTAACGAGCTTGAGGTTCGTGACAATAAAAATTGCCGATAGAAATACCAAAATTAACTCTTTAATTCACTTTACACTGATTAAAACTTAGAACACTAATAATTAATCACACTGATTCACTTTATTTCGCTCCGAAGCTTCGCTTGTCTCGCCAAATTCAATACTTCCCCGATCGTATCTTGCAGCGCCTATAAATACAAATTAGCACCGAAACATCCAGAATATTCAAGTAAACACGCGCAAGGTGCCGAGAGTTCGAGTGACAACTTTTAGAAGCTTAGTTATTCGTTCCGAGACTACGCGGTGATGTCATTTTCTGGAAAGCTCCTCTTGCTCTCGTCCTGGACACTAGATGGCGCTGGTGGCGGATACATGACGTCGACTTATTCGCGCAACACTGCCCCCTCCTAAGACATGCACGTCCCGAGCATTATCGGCGTAAATAACGCGCCAAGCGATCCACATGGACGATTTTAGGAGTCCCTCTTGCGCCTTTCTATATCCGGTAGGTTACATCGTTAATCCTGGTTACAATCCGGTACGGGCCGCCCTATTTAGCTTGAAGCTTAGGAGATTTCCCTTTGTTGCGGACTGGATTATGCACCCACACTAGTGAACCTTCGTCGCGAAGCCTTTATTGTTCATTTTGCGGTCGTACCGGGTTTTCATCTTCTCAGACATTTGCTGGCCCGATTGTCTGACGTGCTCATAAATGTCATTCATTTTGTTCCGCAAGTCATTTGCATAATCGGTTATACTGCGTGGGGCATCAGGTGGTATCCCGGTGATCAGGTCTGCAGGCAGCCGTAATTTTCTTCCAAAGTTTGCGAAAGCTGGTGTCACTGCTGTACTTTCGTGAACAGCGCTTCGATATGACAACAAAAACGGTTGTATGTGCTTGTCGAAATCTCGTTGCCGATTGTCTACAACTTTTGGTAGGTACCTCTCCAATGTCTGATTAAATCGTTCTACCATTCCATTAGATTGCGGGTGATAAGAAGTCGTTCTTGTTTTATGAGTACCCATAACTCGGCAAGTTTCCTGGAATATTTGAGACTCAAAATTCCTTCCTTGATCGCTGTGAATCTCTAAAGGTACTCTCCAAAACGACAGAAGACTTCATAAACTAGTTTATCCGCAACTGTTGAAGCTTCTTGATTTGGAATGCCGAAGACTTCTGGCCACTTAGTGAAGTAATCCATCACAACCATGAAATACTTGTTACCGCTTTCACTCTCCGGAAACGGCCCCGCCACGTCAATGGCTATTCTCTCCCATGGTGCACCAACATTGTACAACTTCAATGCACCTCTACTACGAGTGTGAGGTCCCTTTACTGCCGCACAACTTGTACATTTGCGACACCAGTCCTCGACATCGTTTCGACAGTGGACCCAGTAAAACCGTTCTCGGATCTTCAGTAGAGTCCGTTTAACTCCCAGATGGCCTCCTGAACAATCATTATGGTACAGCTGTAGAACATCCGGTACTCTAGATTTAGGGACGACCATTTGCAAATGGCAGCTGTCTCCCCGAACATTTTCCCTTTTGCGGCACAGAACTCCATCCTGAAGCAGCAAGCTTTCCCACTGGGCCCAATAGCTTTTAGTGGTCGAACTCATTGCTGAGACGTCGCTCTACTTGGGCTTGGGAGCACTGGCCTTCATCCATTGCGGAATCGGCTTGATGTCCGGATCTTCCTGCTGTGCATGTCGTAAGCTGTCCTTCCACTCGTTGCTGAGGTGGTCTGTCCTGAGCATCCTCACGGATACCACTTCCTTACTCTCTTGCCTAGTACAATGTTTGAAATCTTCAGGACAAGGTCTTCTTGACAATGCATCTGCATTGCCATGAGATTTCCCGCTGCGATGTTCGATCTCAAAGTCGTATTCCTGCAGTGGTTCAATCCACCTCGCAACTTGTCCTTCTGGATTTTTAAACTGTAATAGCCATTTTAGTGCAGCATGGTCAGTTCGTAAGTGAAATTT